CCCATTCGAAATCCTCTGAGTGACGTTCCCTCCCATCAAGATGCTGCAAAAGCTATCAGCCAACTGAAGAATAATGAAGCTGCTCGGTTGGAGGGAGTCCCTGCTAAGCTTTTGGTAAAGGGTCGTGCACTGGTCGGATACACACGTCGGTTCATTGCCAAAATGTGAAACGACGAGACAATTCCCACAAATTTACGAGACACTTCTATCGTCACCATATTTAAGAAAGGCGATAAGACACGGTATGAAAATTACCTAGCAATAGCACTGCTCTCTACAGCCGGAAAAGTACTTGTCACGAGTCTCTCCAACCGACTTCTCCCTCTGGCGCTGGGTGTCAGTAATTAAATTTAAGAAGATTTCGAACCAAGAACAAGGTATCCACAACAACTGTTTGTGAACTTCAACATGATGATGTTCTGGCAAACACCGCGGAAGAGACCCACAAATTGCTTAAATGCATTCAAGCAAGATACGAAAGCATCGGTCTAAAACTAAACATGGATAAGACAAAAATCGTATACCAGCCTGCCCCAAATATTAACGCACCAGATCCTGCGGTAAATATCAATGAAGCACGTCTAGAAACTATAGAATACTTCCCATACCTCGTTAGTCATCTTTCGATAAATGTAAATATTGACTCGAAAATTCAACACCAACTAAACTGCGCTAGCGCTTCTTTTGGATGTCTCTAAAAAGGATGTTTGACAATCACGTCATTGCCTAAAGTAAGCTCGCAATGCCATCGTCATCAACAATTCTCTACGGATGTGAAATCTGCATTACTTACAGGCCGCACCTAACGTGCGTGTTTAGAAAAAAATTACCAGTGCTGTTCACAAAAAATACTCAAAATAAACTGGCAGGATCGTCGATGACCAATAGTATCTTTGAGGATGCCAGACTCACGTCTTCATAAACAAATTATGTATGCTCAGCTAAAAAATGGCCAACGCAGCAAAGGAGAGCAATTCAAAGAATACAAAGATGTCCCCAAGGCAAACATGAAAGCGTGTCAGATCGACGTGCGTGACTGGGAGGCTACGGTTTTTAATAGACCCGTATGGAGACGAAGTGTCCATGAACGCTAGGAGTATTTCAAACGACAAAAGCGAGGGATGCAGTGGACAAACGGAATCGTGGGAAAGAACGAGAACATCTGACAAGAGCGGCCAGCTACCGCTGATTGGGTGTGCAATCAATGTGGGAGAAATTTTGGGTTCAATATAGAGCCTCGCGAGACCACAAGACTAGTCTTGGTCTTGGTAGCAACACCAACTAGAGTCTAGCCATCACATGTGGAGCAACTACGATTTTAGCCGAAAGCCGAGCCGCATTGAATTTGAAGGAAGGTGTATATTCGGTTGCAGCAAAAACAACAAAAATAAACTTAAAATCAATATTAAATATAATAAAAGAAAACTGATAAAACTTTATCAAAAAATATTCTAACTTGAAGATGCCTTAAAATTAAATTAATATTCTAAATATTCTATAGGTATTACGTATCCGTGTTCGAGTCCGTGGAATTATCATTAGTGTCTAATATTGTCTGCAAAATTAATGCGTTTTTTTCTTCTCTTTCAGGATGTTGAAGATTAGATGCGGATCTTTGCATTTTTTTTTTTTACGTTCATTAAGATTGAATCGAATTTCTTTTGCAGAGTTTTTCTGAATCATCCGAATACATTACTATCCTAAATCCAAACTACAAGAAATGTAATATTTCTACAAATAATTATTATCTGGATAAATGGATAAAAATGGTTAAAAAAACGATAGAAATAACAACTAAATTCCTGTTATCAATTTTCTATGCACCAGAGTTCGCTGTTCGGCTATTATCGGGCTTGCTCCGGCTGTGACGGCTAGACTCTAGTGCAACACCAAGACCAAGACGTAATAAATCTTCTCAAGACCAAGACCAAGACTTGCCGTTCAAGACCAAGACCAAGACTCCCTCTCGAGACTCTCGTCTTGGTCTTGGCCTTGAAAAGAAAACTCGACTCAATATTTATAAAAATATGCAAATTCTTATAATCTACTTTTAATGTCCTTTAATTAAATCAATTCATCAAATTTATTATTTTTTAATATTTTTCTACCCCCTGCATAATACAATACCTAAGTACTACCTAAGTAAGTAATTTCCAAAGATAATTATTATCAATTAGGTATACTCACATCTCACCCAAACTAACCTAAATCTGATTATTGTGAATATTCAATTCAACGAGCTATGTGACTATGTGAGGTTTCTCGAAAACCTTTGTCTAGCCTGAATGCTCAGGTAGGTCAGGTAGGTTTATTCTTATGGTTCAAATAGAAATTTATTTTTTTCCTCGGTACAGAATGGCAATTTTATGGTGTGTTTCTCAACTTTCCTGTTCCGTTAATGATAATTCTAATTTAAGAATTGATATTTGTTTGTTCCTCTGTGTTGTGGAATGCTTTATGCGGTATTTTTTGACATGAATTGCTCTTGCTGGTAAAAATAGCCTTTGAAGAAGATCAAATGCATGGTCGAAACGTCCTCATAATTTTTTCAGAAAGGGAGTTTTATTTCTTATTTCTGTCCTAAGTCCTAAGTCCTAAACCCATTATCTCTGCTCGGTCCACGGATCCGGATGCTGCCAAAATTCTTATAATACTCGTTAGCGAGTGAATGTATCTGATATGATGACGGTTTGAATAAAGCGATAAATATTGAGTGAATTTTTGTAAAATCTATTTTTTCAATAAAAGTTGTAACTGTTTGTAAAAATAAGTTACAGTGGACCCGGATTCCGCGACAATTTGGAAGTGGGAACAATCAGAGAACTTTTTTTTTCTACGAGCGTGCATTTTTTATTACTTTCCCGCACGCATCTTAGTTCCGAAAATGTCACTTTCCCGCACTAGTGCGCGATTTTGTTTTTCCCGCACTAGTGCGGGAAAATTCTATTCCCGCACTAGTGCGGGAAAGTGGCGTTCAGAAGAAGTGTCAGTTTTGGTAATTAATCAAACATTTTATCTATTTTGTCTGCCTACATTTTTGCTAGATATACTAATTTATGCGCTCATAAACTATTTTAAATATTCCTATTTTCTATTTTAATCCATATTATTCTAATTTGTGAATATTTCAAAAATGTTATAATTTTTTTTGACATTGTTTGACTTTTTGGTCCCTTTGAGGCGGGGCAGTTCTTTTAGCTCAGAAATTTTGTTTATTGTAACATCAAATCGATTTAATACATAATTTTTTTCAATCATTCTTGAAAGTAAATGTAAAAATATAAAAATAAGTAATTTTGTAATTAAATTTCTCTTTACTTAGTTTCTGTTTTTATATTTGAACGCGCTCGTAGAAAAAATAATGTTCCTAACTCATGCGGAAAGTGTCTTTTCCTACGAGCGTGCGCAAAGTAGTACTTTTCCGCACGCATTTCGGTACTCAAAGTTACACTTTTCCGCACTCAGTGCGGATACAGGCCTTATCCGCACTGAGTGCCGAAAAGTAAAAATAATTGTCAAGCAACAATAAGTGTACCTGTCGACTTTGACACATGATGACAAGTTTTTCTCTGTTTCTTTAGCAGCCTACATCTATACGAACACCGAATATAATTAACTTTGACACATTGTCAGATTTGTTCTCTATTTATATGCAAGAATCTACAAACTTTCTCATCAAATTTAAACGCTTTAAGATGAACAGCTCTGACGAGGATTTTTTATTATTATTTTTTTTGTTACGTAATTGTTTGATAAATGCGTAGGTTCGCTCCAAGTTAATTAAAAATAATTGAACAAATTATCGTTTTTTTTTTTTAAATTTTTGTTGTTACCTACTTGATATGAAGCTCGTAGGAAAAATTTTGTTCCTAACACGTGCGCAAAGTGTCTTTTCCGCACGCAAACACTTATCCGAACTCCGCTTCGCGTCGTTCGTATAACTGTGTTTGCGTGCGGAAAAGTAACACTTTGCGCACTTGTTAGGAAAATAACTATTCCCGCATTCGACTGCTTGCCCGAACTCCGCTTCGCGTCGTTCGGGTCAACGGCAGTCGCGTGCGGGAAAGTATCACTTTCCGCACTTATTAGGAAAATAACTATTTAATGAAATAGTGACTTTATTACCGTAATTGAAATCAAATACCAGTTTTACAAACGGATTTCTGGAAACTTCTATAGTGTTCAATTTGGAAACCGTGCGTGATACAAGAATAGTGACTTCATTACTGGTTTCGACGTCGAAAAACAAGTCCACAGAGTGATTTTTATGAACATTCAATTGAGTGTTTTATTTTGAAATTTAGCTTCGCCACTGAAGATTAAAATCGAGTTTCAAGAAAGATACAGAGTATTCTAAGGTAAATATATGACAGCAATCTACCGAAAAGGATCAAGTTAATCAAATGTTGGGGGACCCGAAAAATCTGTGTCTATGTAATTTATATGGACGATACTGTCGAATTGTGGGTTCGGGATCCGGGTCCTCAAGGATATAAAAAAGGAAGCCCAAAGACAAACAGTTGTTTGGGTCTAGAACGCCTCAATTTTGGCTATTCTTTCATATTCAATACTAAAAAATAAAATAACTAACTAATTTTAAATAAAAATAACAGCCAAGGATTTTGAAGAGTTTAGTTATTGTTATTCGCATTTAGATTATACTATTCCGCGCGCAAAAGCAGTAGCTTTGGATTTAAGTGCGTGAAAGAGTCGTCTAACTGCTTTGGAGTGCGGAAAATTACTAATTTGCGCACTTGTTAGAAAAATAACTATTTCAATTTAATTAATTCCAAAATTAAATTATTTGTAAAAATTGTCTTATACAAACCACAACAATGGGTCAAGCTAATCATACATATCTTTATCCATCCAAGGAATAACTTTATTTTGACAAAAGCTTAAAAACATTACCCATTTTTCATCTAAAATTCTACGCACGCTGTATAAATAGAAGTATAACTAACTCCACCACCAAAAAAAATATAAATAAAATAACTTACTGCAAATTATAACAACTGGAACTGCAAGTAAAAAAAAAAATGTTATTTTATGTGAGTAAAAAAAGTTTTTGGCTATATAAGTTATAACTTACCCAATCGGATCCATTTTTCTAGCTTATTCTGGAGATTAAGTCTTGGACCATATCCTTCTAATAGTTACTTTCTGCAAAAAAATACAACATTTAAGTACCTAATCAATAATAATTAAAGTGGGCATTTTGTGAGTATGTAATAGTTATTTACATTACAAGTACGTTTATGAACATGATTACAATAACGAGTGTGAAAGATTAGAACGACGAGGTCGTAGACCGAGTCATTCTAATCACACGAGTTTTGTAGTCATGTTCAAACGCGCGTGTGATGTACAACGTTTTATATACAAAGCGAAAAATAAGAAGGTTTTTTTCAATTATTTTCGTTTATTAGTAGGTAGTTGTCTATCTTCATTTCACCTTTACAGGTTTAACGTTAACATTTGCCAAATCACCAAAAATAGTTGTGTTGTGGATTCATAACCTAGTCTATAACACCACTCGTTGTGTTATGAATTCATAACCTAGTCCATAACACCACTAGTTGTGTTATGAGCCTCATGACATAACTCAAATACTAGAAAAATGATTATGTAAAAACGGCATAACCAAACGCTTGTAGATAAAATTTATTTGCCTATCCAATGACAATATAGTCCGGTTCGCATCAATTATTATCCTTGATCGATATTGATAGGAAAATTTTGCGATTCGATAACGTTTGATTAGGGACTGCGTGTAAGGTATTTCTCAACGTTAATTGAGATTTTAGGTGGGTAATGATTGCTATTGATTTGGGCGCTGTTATAATAAACTCGCTACAAGCTACAAGTATAATTTAGAGATTGTAATTTGAAATATTTTTTTTGCTTATCAATTAGATATCTAAAACGCCTACTTGATACGGTATTGATTAGTCAACTGCGGAAAGCACGATTATATAGAAAAATTAATAAAATAATGGATGCACGTTATCAAAATTTATGATGTAAGCATGTCGCAATGTTACCGCATTAACTTCGTTTTACTTTGGCATACCATATCTAGTAAAGTTTTTCATCTTCCCACGTTACATTTTCATTAATAAGTTAATAAGAATCACCAATACCAAAAAAACGAAATTCCATTAACCCTCCGTACACACACATACTTTTTGAAAACACCAAACACCAGTGTTGCCAACTATATGAATGGCCATTTTACCAGATTATAAAACTTGGAATACCAGAATATTACTAGATTTTTCTCAATCCTGCCAATACCAGAATATTACTAGGTCTTTGTTGCTAAACAAAAATTGTGCTAAAATTTTTAGATTTAAATTGTTTATTTTAAGTTTTTTTTTTTTTGTTTTTTTCGTTAGGTTTAAAATAAAAATGCAATAACAACAATATCTATAGTATGGAAAAATAAAGCTTATTCAGATAAAATAACACTGCATATAGTCCAACAAATACCATTTTAAAGTCACGTGATTTTTCTCTATCCTTGTTGAATACATCTTAAACAGCGGTGATAGTAAAATTGACAAAAAAATTGGTGTCTAATTATTGTTCAAAATATTCTTACCTGAAATAGAATCCGTCACTGTCATCAATTAGTTTGTCAAAGTAATTTTGGAAAATGATACAACGAACAAACACAACTAATAATTTTGACTATATTAACCTTTTTCCAACTTGAAAAGAAGCAAATAGAAAACGGGTACCCAATTCAAGTTCAGAATGTATTACAACGGACAGCAGATGCGACAAAAGTGAGTCTCGCAACAACTGCAAATATTAAAATTCCCATCTGATTGGTCAATACCACTTCAGAAACGCGTTTGTAAAATGCTAGTGGGAACATATCCTAAAATTCAATCGTAATTAACCACCAGTAGCTTTTTGTAGGTGATATCAACGACATAATCAATGGACATACGTTTTTTGCCACCAATATCACGTGACTTTAAAATGGTATTTGTCGGACTATACCTAATGCAAACATAGGATACCTATAAACAAATACATTATTGTAAAAAAAATCTGGATAACATAACATTACAGATACCTATTGGTAAACATGCTTAGGGCCCGGTTTGTTCATCTTCAGATAAGCTCCTTGGTAACTATCTGCAAGATAAGTGCACCGTTCTATAATTCTATTGGTCGGCGGATAACTGGCCAACCAATGGGATAACATATTTCGTTTATATATGGGTCAGATTGCATACCTGACAGTTTATCAGAAGGTGAATAAACCGGCCCTAATAGGTATGTTGGTAACCTTTGGCATAACTATTTAAGACTAGTCTCCATAGACGCGAAATAGCGATTTATTTTTTGCGGATTTCTTTCCTATTGGTTCAAATTTCACAACATTCAAATGTCCAATGTCAAATTCCAACATGTAAAAATGTCATTTTAATTAAAACGACCATAAATTCCAGAAAAATAGATTATTGATTGCTAATGCGAAAATACCAGAATTTTGCTGGAATGAAATGTCAAATTACCAGAAATATTACTAAATATATTTTGAAAATCTTCATTACTAAAACCGGGGTCGATATTACCAGTTGGCAACACTGCCAGACACACACTGGGGTATATGATACTCGAAGCATTTATTGCTGGTTCTTAACACAAAAAAAAAATACACACGTTTTAGGATATTAATAGATGCTTATTTGTTCAAGAAGCAAAACCTAACACTTAAAAAATTAATATTTTTGTACTAAAAAACAAATAAATATTCTGTTACATTGTACCTATACGAAAAATTCAATAAAAATGTTTTAGTGGAAAAATAACTTTGTATCAACGAAAACGAATATTAGTCTAAGAGCCAGTGAATTTTTTTCTGTAAAAAGTTGCCGATGGAAAATTTCATGCTTATACGATGTAATATTATCCCCCGAGATCGAAAACCATAGTCTGGCAGCATGTAGTGGAGAAGTTTGGCCTAGGCATAATTAATAAGTCAATAAAAAATTCACGAAAATCGAACTATTTGCCGATGGTCAATTTTTGCGGCATATCATTCAAAAATGTTCCCTTAACAAGGATGTAATTGTGCCAGACGATTTTCACGGGTTTGAAGCCTTGCCAGACGCCCCCAGATTGCAAAAAAAATATAAAACTTTCGAAATACTTGCCGAAACCTTTTTTTAAAAAAATTATGAGAAAAAAATTGTGAATCGAATGGAAATATTGTCACGACGAGGCTGTAGACAGAGTCGTGGTAACCACACGAGTACTATAATGAGCGTTACCGTACGTGTGATATACATTTTATCTACAACTCAGATTTTTGTTTTATGTATACGATGGTTTTGATTTTTCACAAAAGATTATTCGGTGAGCTTAAAGCTCAAGGCTGAAAGAAAATATTTTCTCAACAAGGACTTCAAGCAACACTATCAGCAGCATCAGGTATTAGTTCTACTTTTAATATTCATAAATAAAAAATGAGTTACATAATGAGCCTATTAAATGACTAGTGATAGAAGGAGCTCAATATATCACTAGTACGATAATACAACTTATAACGTAACTCAAATAAACTAAAATGGGTTACATTATCGTAATAAGCTCTCATAGTATGGATGGGTGGGGACGTATTTAAAATGAAAAAATCATTATTACACAAAATCATACATAAAACCTAGCTTATTCTTTTTTTGACATTTCAGTACAATTATAAATCGATAATTTATATTTTATTTTATGTCAATTCATTGTTCACTATTTAATTATTTTATTTCATTAATAAATTAACAGAAAAAAAATATAATTATATTACAATGAATTATGAAGTACACGTAGGTACCTGGAATGGTCGCGCCGATTTTTAAAATTGAGATGGTCCAAAAAAATGTTTATTTGGGGTTAGGCATATACCAAACCTCACAGCAATGAACTAGAAAGAGAAAAGTAGCCATCAGTATATAGCTATCTTTGGAAACACTAAGAGAGAGACAAATGCCATGTCCGACAACGGTGGGATCCATTCCTGTTACGTGTAGTATACCGGACGTCCCACCGAAAGCTGTCAATGGCCTATATCTTGAAAACGCTCATCGATAAAGAAAAAACCCGTTTGAAGGGGGAACCAAAGCAAGGTACTTTTCAGGCCTCCCAGAACCACCACTCCGGCGGTAGCCACCCTAACCTCAAAATCTTAAACGGCACATAGGTCATGTGATGTGATACCTTGTTTGAGGGGTTTTTCAATTATCTAAACGATCTGCATAAAATTTTTTATCTAGATACAATTTTAAATTGTCAGAAAATAGCCCATACTTCGAGTTAACAACTTTGCCCTCTTGAAGAGGTGAACACTGTCAGATACAGTGAGAGGAAAGGAGTTCGAAAAAATAAAACCTTGATGATTTTTTCAAAATTCTCCATGTTAATAATTTTGTATAAAATCGATCTTAAATCACATTTATCTGTTCCACCAGATCAAATGAGGTTTTCATCAAAATTAGACTCACATTTAAATCTGGATATTTTTTTTTTACAGGTCCATTTAGAAAATTGAATCATCACATGACCTTTAGTACCATTCAGGACTTTGAGATTAGGGTAGCTACAGCCGGAGAAAAAGTTCGCGGAGAGCTGAAAAGTACCTTGTTTTGGTTCCCCCTTCCAACCCTGCAAACAGGTTTTTTTTATTTTTTATCGATTACCGTTTTCAAAATATAGGCCATTGACAGTTTTCGGTGAGACACCCGGTAGGTATAGTTCATTCATTGATGTATGATTATACAAACGCTTTTGTTCCATTCATTCCTTGTCTTTCCATCTCATTTGCTCTTGTACGGGATCACCGACATGGTGGCCGCGGCATATTATCCGCTCCCAGACGCAGGGAGGGGATAATATGTGCGTTCACGGACGCGAGAAATAACGAACTTCGGCGTCGTCTGGCAAGGATTAATCCTCGAAAAAACCGTCTCGCACTAGCTTTGTTCGATTAGCAATTTTTTTCTCTTTAATGTAAAAAAAACTGGTTTCGGCAAGTTTTTCGAATTTTTTTATTATTCTTTTGCATTTTGGAAGCGTCTGGCAAGGCTTTAAACCCGTGAAAACCGTCTGGCATTATTACAGTCCTGTTAATGGCACATTTTTAAATGATATGC